AATATTTATTTAAAGCTGCAGTCCGTAAGTTTTGCCTCTTTGTCGCCATCTCTGTTTGAAAACCTGGAATTGCAGATGTGTGCGGAATTATCTAGCTTGCGTGGGTTGTGGATATTTACTGTACTTCGCAATCACAGATTCTAGCCTACGTCTTGGAATATGACCCAAATAAGAATTTTCACCATATATTGCCATCTGCAATGTAACAAGTAACAAGTCTGCCACGTTTGTTCTGACCAACTGAGGAAAAAAGCATTACCATAAATCTTGCTACCAATGGTGATTAAATCTAAAGATCGGTTAGCTCATATCACATCAAACCTTTCAAATTATTATTATTGTTATTTTTTATTCTCAAATGATTAATGATAACAACATCAGCATTGGTGACTATGAGTATAGTGTGTATTAGCGTGTAGATTTCAATTTCTGCTTAGTCTAATCTAGCTAAAGTAAGGCGATAGTTTTGAACACTGGCTGGTTATGTACTTGCTCAAATATTGATTTTGGGTCATTTTTAACCAAAAAAAGTTACGGACTGCAGCTTTAACATTGGTAATGTTTTTCCTTTTCATAAGTTTGGGGTCAGTAAGAAAAAAAGAAATTAGTACTTTTATTTAGCACAGATGCATTAAAAGTGACAATAAAAAATATTCTATTTCAAATAAATGCTGTTCTTTTGAACTTTCTATTAATCAAAGATTCCTGGAAATAATAATAATAATAATTAGAAATGTTTCTTGAGCACCAAATCAGCTTATTGGAATGATTTCCGTAGGATCATTTGACACAGATGACTGGAGTAGTGATGCTGAAAATTGCAAATCATAGAAATAAATTTTAAATTGCTTTAAAATGTTTTTACATTGTATGTAAAAGCATACATTTATACTGTATTTCTGATCAAATAAATGCAGCCTTGGCAAGCATAAAAAACTTCTTACAAGAAAAAAAAAGTATACTTTTGAATGGTAGTGTATGTGTTTTAAATATTTCTTGTTTTTCTCTCTCTAATTTCCGTGGACCACTAGCACTCGCTTGCAGCCTGTGGGGGTCCCAGGACACCAGCTTGAAAATAGAGCCTACACTTTGTGTTGATGTAAAACAATGTCCAAAATGTTACATAAAAAACTTCTTACAAGAAAAAAAAGTATACTTTTGAATGGTAGTGTATGTGTTTTAAATATTTCTTGTTTTTCTCTCTCTAATTTCCGTGGACCACTAGCACTCGCTTGCAGCCTGTGGGGGTCCCAGGACACCAGCTTGAAAATAGAGCCTACACTTTGTGTTGATGTAAAACAATGTCCAATAAAATGTTATGTTTTTGTTCACTCAGCTAAGCTAACTGATGACACTATGAAACTGTGACACAGCAGACCCATGCTTCTCATGCCCAGCAGGGCTAATTATCAGAAGTAACTGTTTTTAACAATAATTTGATCTGTTCTTCTGTATCTGATTGTGTGTTTTCCTCCTAGGCTGTCCTCAGTGATAGCAAGTCTGAGGCCACTGTAGTGCAACATTTACAGCTCTTATCATTAATCTGTGATTGGATTACCCTAAAGCCAGATAGTGGACTCTTATGGACTCAAGAAATCCTGGCTACATGATGAAAATTGTTTTCTAACTTGAAAACCATGTATTAAACAGATGCGCTGTCACTGTAGTTTTTTAAATGTGTCAAACATTCAGTGTAAGACATTTTTGTGCATTTGTGTTTGTTTTTAGATTGCTTTTTTAAATTCTGCATACAACAAATCAATGTACTTTTGACATTAAATGTAGAATTTAAAAGTCATTCTTTAATTAAACAACAGCTTTTTATTAGTACACACAGACTTTCTAGTTTCATTTTATATCCAAAGGTGATGTCCGGATACTGACATGCATTTATGAACCTTTAATGAAATTAAACATGCCCTATTTCATTGCATTTCAGTGCCTGACCTGTTGTGAATGAAGTTAAAGGGTAAAAGCAAAGAGTTTTCATGGTGCTCCAGATGCATGTCTGCTACCTTGAGTCTTTCAATAATACATGCAGTGCTTAAAACAGGGTTATTTTGGTTAAAGTAAGCTGGTCTCTAAGAACCAGAAAGCACCGGGGAAAGCAGATTTTCCTGCACTGTATGTGATTCACATTTGTCTTGTAGAGAGCTTATTTTGTCCTCCTTATCAACCATTTGTTTCTGATGGATGTTTGCTGTTTTGTAAATGTCATCAGTACGTCACTGGTTTACTGGAGAACAGACACAGTGACAGGCTGAATGCTATTCATCTCAGTCAGACGCAGAACATAACATTCCCATTGGATCTGTGGATACTGCTTGAACAAACAGTGCATCAAAGCCACTAATTTTCATGCATTCAGCATCCACACTCACATAAAACTGCATGTTTTCTCATGACTCCTCTAATAATTTCCTAAGACATACTGGGTCAGCATTTTTTAAAGTGTATGAATGCATTATAACATATGCTTTACCTTTATCGTGGCTGTTTCACGACAGCGTTCTTTCGAGGGTCCTTTGACACATTTTCCTCCCCTAGAAAGAAAGAAAGGCCTCCATGAATATTAATAGTTTGTCTGAACTTTTTATCTTTTAGCAGAAATGTCCACAGAGACATCAGTTGGTTCTAGACAACAAACTTTGTCTGGCAAAAATCGGAATGAACTTTTCGTCACCCTTGTTTTAGAAACTACCTTTTCACAGGTACTGCTGGGACAGGTTTCTCTGCAGGTTGCTCGATCATGCATGTGGCCTGAGCAAACCATTACCACACTGTCACTCACTGCACGTAGAGCCCTTGTCCTGTTCTCCAGGAGCAGAGGCCCCATTCAACTTTAATAAAATTAACTTCTGCTTTTAGAAAAACACTCTCACACTAAGAATTTGACCTTAAACCTGTCTGCTGGAGGATCTGAATCGCATTTGTATGCCAAATACAGGTTCACAGTAAGGCTGGACTGGATCAATTGTTAATGTGCATGGAAATGTAGTGTCAGAAGAGGACCTCCTGTATTCTGTACGGAGGAGGTTGTGGTGCCAGCAGCTTGTGCTCTGTTGTGAAATGTAGTGTTGTGGACATTTATCCCTGCCTCTTTGTTAATGTTGAATTAATGATTTTCCCCTCTCACCCCATCAAAAGATGATGATGGAAATGGCTTCGACCGACCCTGAATAATCAATTATATTAATGCAGGCCTGTGCTGGATATGAAGAGCGTTTCTTTAAAAGGACGTAATCATCTGGCCTCAAGCACCACTGTCGTTCTGTGTGTATGTGTTTACAAAACTGTCCCCAGAAGTTGGTTAAATGTGACAGCGTCCTTTTGAGGACATCTGGGGACATTCTCATTTGGAAAAAAAAAACAATTCATAAATAAAAATGTTATTTCTAAGAATCCTAAGAATATAAAAAAATATTTATTGTAGGGCTTAGGGTTAGTTTGTGGTCCTTATTATTAATGTTATACAAAAAAAACAGAACTCTATAGTATGTTCATTTAGACTAATAAATATGTGTGAGTGTCTGCTTAGCTATAGTTTGGGGATAAAATTATGCACTGAAGTTAGATACGGTTCAAAGGTTTGGGGTCAGTAAAATGTTTTTGAAAGAAGTCTCTTAAAGTCACCAATGCAGCATTTATTTGATCAAAAAATACAGTTAAAACAGAAATTTTGTGAAATAATATTACAGTTTAAAATAACTGATTTCTATTTTAATATATTTTAAAATGTAATTTATTCCTGTGATCTACTCCAGTCTTTTACTCCAGTCTTCAGTGCTACACGATCCTTCAGAAATCATTCTAATATGCTGATTTGCTGCTCAATTTATGGCATCCTTGCTGAATAAAAAAATAGAAATAATCATAATAATAATAATAAAAACTTACTGACCTGAAAATTTTGAATGGTAGTGTAAAACATTTCAGAAATAAAATAACTTCAGTAATTAATGAAAATAATAAATAATTACATTAATATAACATAATAATTAATATCAATAATATAATTAGTTTATTCTAAAAATGTTTTCTTTTATAGGTTAGTCTGCAGTCATTATAATCAGATCTATAAAAAAACAACTTACTGTAAGAAAAAGTCTGTACTGCAAGTCTTACTGTAAGAACTTACTATGTGAATATCAGCTTTAGATCAAAAAGGTTCAAATCTGCTGACACCAACAGGTTTTTGTGAGGATTAGGTTTAAAGCCCAAAGTATACTTCACTTTTTACGCGTACGCGAGGGACCGCATACAATGCGCGTGACGCAAATTGCGTCATCAGAACAGTAAGCGTACTGTACGCGCACCACTATGGAAGGCCGTCAGAGCCAAAAACATGCGAATTTTAACGCGTCTATAACGCATTGTTTATGCGTAGGATACGTGTTGTTTACGCGTGAATAATCGGCATGTAATTTACGCGTAATCAATGCTGAAACAACGCGTAAACAACACGTTCTAGACGCATTAAAATTTGTGCATTTTTGGCTCTACGGCCTTCCATACAACGCGTCTATAACGCATTGTTTATGCGTAGGATACGTGTTGTTTACGCGTGAATAATCGGCATGTAATTTACGCGTAATCAATGCTCAAACAACGCGTAAACAACACGTTCTAGACGCATTAAAATTTGTGCATTTTTGGCTCTACGGCCTTCCATACACCACCCAATTTTTGTAACCGCGTGTACTTTGTACTCTTAAAGGTACAATATGTACGTTTTCATCGCTAGAGGGCGCGTATTCAAAACAAACAAAGAAACAAAGGCGTAGTTTGATGACGCCGTGACTGAGTGTGGAATCATGGGAGTTGTCATCTTCATCCCCACAGCCGACGCAATCCGACGGGACTCAGGCAGAAATCATGTTCATGGATGAGCTAATGTATTAAAGATTTATTAACATCGTAGTATGAAGCAGAGTGAGGCGGAAAGCCGTCGAAGCGAAACGAGGCCGCTGAAGCAATTGCTAATGAGAGACCAGCGTGACACACGGCTCGAAAGCAGCGGAGCTTTTATTATGCCACACTTTAGCGCTTCCGCGCCTTCTGGTCGTGCGTATGTGGGGTAAAGCAGCGCTGTTTTATCATACTAGATACGTTTGAAAGTTCTGTTATAATGCTACTCTGTGCGGTCGTCACCGGCCTATTAAAACGCACAACATATTAAAGCGTCTTTGGTGTTTCCATGTTTTCTACAAAACAAAACCGGAAATCGAGGGGTTATGACGTCATTAGCACAATGACACTATAGACACGGTCCGTGTCACTAGTTAAAATTGCTTATTTCTGTGGATTTAAACATTCTTCGAAACATTTGGGATAATGTAAGTACACAAGTCAGCAAAATATATAACACTGTTCTAGTGGTTTTTGGATATTTTAATAAAAAAAATCTTACATATTGTGCCTTTAAGTGTAGAGTTATGATAAAGGCTTAACAAATATAATCACATACACATAAAAACTCCATAAATGCGTGTGTTCTGATTTCACTATTCATAACTGAAACAATCAACTACATTCAGTACAAATCGTGGCAGAAAAGTTCAATCCTCATGTGCATTTTCATCAGTTTTATACCTGCACATTCAAATGTCTCTTTGTCCTCAGAATCTCGTGATCAAGGCCAACACAGCAATCTGGAAAACAGACACGCTCATCGCACATCTCAAGACGGATCTGAGACTGGATAGGCTCTGTCAAAACAACGTGAACGAATGATTAATCACACAGTGAATTGTGTGAGTCCAGTAAGGGAATGTGCCACCTGGTGGTCAGAAAGGTGACGCGCTGTTTTCATTAAACTCCTCACCATGTGACGTAAGTCTGCCGGTTTATGTTTTTTTGTCACTGATGCTGAAGAGTCCACTCCTTTCTTTCAGTTCCCCGGCAAGAGCTGAGGAAACATTAACAGCCCCGACGTCCTCGTTAGTGGCACCATTAAAACTAAATTTCCTATTTCCTGAGTGCAGTTGTGAGGTGATGTGGAGTGTGCGGAGACTGATGAACGAGCCTCGATATCAACTGTGTGACAACTATCTACACAACACATCAACCACACCTACGGAAAGATGCAGGTATGGACGTCTAGTCTGTTTTGACGCCTCTACATGGCATTGTAAAGTTACAGTTAAACGTTTAAGAAGAGTCCATATACTGTTCTGCATGACCGATGCGCTTAAACGTGTATGAACAGAACTGATATTCACGGGCGCAGAGTTAAGTGTGATATGGATAGACTACTCGCTATGTTTGGTTTCCGTAAAGGCTTTTTCTTTGGGTTACGTTACGTTGATTAACTTATGTGGGTGATGGGAATATTAAGGATAATAGCTTCTATTACAGCGCAGACAGTGGTTTTGCATCTGCTTTGTGTCGCATCATTATCTACGCCTCTTTTTCTCCTTCTCAGCTTCAACTCCAAATGATTGCCTCAGTTATTAAAGTGATTTTGCACCTGAGATGTCACACTTTCTATGGTTAAATGTGAGGCTGAAGATGTGATTTTCGAGTGGATGTGAATGATGCTATGAAGAGCACATGTGCATTGCATCAACAGGCTCCACAGCCCACAGGGACTGGAGTTGGGATAGCTGCATGCATGGTTGTTTATGCTTAAATGCGAGTTTAGATTAACAGTTAATGATGTAATTTTCGTCTGAAATTGAGTGTTCACATTTCATGAGTTTTCCGAAGTTAGGTTTTGGTGATTTTTTTCCTCAGGCTTCGCGATCGCTCTGAACGGATTTCTCTCGCTACTGGTGAGTGAGAAACCCGGAGTGGATTGAAGCTGGAGCCGACTGAGCGCTTTGAGCGCTCCGATCCACTTTACACTGTGGTTCTAGTCCGGTTTTCAGTTCGCTTTGAGGTTTGGGTTCTTGTGGTACTATTTTAGTTGACAGAAAAGAAATATACTAATTAACTGACCAATTTTTGACTAAAACATACGTGAATTGATATTAATTCGCCTACTTATAAGTGTATAGGCTAACTGAATTGTAGAACTGTATAAACACAATGTAAATTTAGTATAAGATTAATTTCTGTGGTTCAGACAGGCTGTTGTTGTTAAAGTTAATGCAATGAAAATTCTAAATGCGTGTTAAATTTAATGTGTCTGGCTTCTGGTGTCATTGGCTTCCAGCTATTTTTAGCTGTACAAAACAGCTAATTTTGCTGCTTGATATTGCAGACTGGTGTCTCTTAACCATATTATTTTAATGTATTATCTTAATTGTGAACAAACTGGTTTGTAGTGCATACAGTTTTACCGTTTACTGCACTTTGTTATTCTTCTTGTTATTTCCTTACAGCGGAATCAACAATAATTTCGCCCCACAAGCTCATATGTATCTACCTCCACTTTTGAGTTCGATGCCCACATTTTAACATCCAATCAAGAACTGGCAGACAGAATCAAGTCCCCACCTTACTTTTTTGTTTGTTTTTCGATAGTCCGCTACACTCGGATATACATCACAATACATAAGAAAAGTTATGTCGCTACTTCCGTTTCATTGTCACTTTAATATTATAGCATAGCTGTGATAACCTGCAGCCTTGTGCCTATAGCATAATAAAAGCCATGCTGATATTCAGCACAACAGCAATCATACTTGTGTGATGTTGCTTAAATATTTTTTCCACGATCCCTTTTTTCCCCCGTCTAAATCTATTTCACGATTAACCTCTTCGTGTCATTTAACAGATTAAATTGAAGTGAATTGATTGCGCTTAGCTGGACGGAGAATAGAGGAGTTATTAAAGTACTTGTGACTCAAGTTCCCTTGAGGCAATTTACTTTTGTGTCCATCATCCCCGTGAAAATTGATGTGTGGAGGTGTGATTGGAAGATTGCTGTCGGTATGTGATTACACCCAAGGCAGTAAGCCTTCACACGTTTCCAGCATGGGAAAGTTGTATATCTCTTAAAAAAAAAAAAGAGAAAACAAATTATGTAATTAATTATATATTTTTTGGTTATTTTCTATTTTAGGAAATATTCTGTCTACATTACATTTACTTAAAATTATGGCAACAAATTACATATAACTCTGTTTAGAATTCAGTATCAGTCAAATCAGCTCCTTAAATGTGAGTAATTCTGCAAATAGATAAAATAAAACAATTATGTTAAACAAATACAGTTAATAGGAATTAAAACAAATATCAATCTTATTAGTACTAAATAACAATTTGTAATTGTAACAATAATTTATTTAGATTACATAACTGAAGATTTCTTTATATTTTACATATATTATCCATCTCATTTATTTATGAGAAATGTATGAGTGACTCAGAGCAAAGCCTTGTTGTCTGTTGACCACATCACATAAACACTCACTACACTAACACTCATAAAATAAAAAGCATTAATTTAATATGTTAAAGACCTCACAGATGACAACACTTGCTACATGAAACATGACAAGGGTAACAATCAAATATTTGTTCATTAGTGAAACAAATCCGTCCTGGCAACAGATTACTAAACATGACAAAAAAAAAAACAACAACAGCAATTTAAACAGTCACACAATCATAATTATTCATACTCTAGTGCATACTGGGAAGACAGTAAATGGGTCTGAACCACAAAACTATTGTTGAAAACTGGATTGTGAGCAAAAGGAACATTTAGACAGGCAATGCTTGCAAATTCATGGTGGCTTATTCAAATTGTGGTCAATTCAAGATGTCTTATTCAAATTTGGTCAATTTATTGCAATCAGTGAATGATTATGCTCATTAGTTGTTAGTAAAAATGAGTAGCTATTATTTCAGTCTGCTCTATATTCTGTTCAACTTTGGTTAAATAAAACAAAACTTCTGTTAAATACCATTTACGTATTATATTTTCATGAAATCTACAGAAGCACAGAATCAGTTACAGCCTGCATGATTGCAGCTTGACTGAAGAATCATTGAAAGGGTTTTTAAAGGAGTGTTGTAGATCACTGTTTCTAGTGTTGCACTCCTTAAGAGAATTGATTTTGGGTCAGTTGTTTGATAGCTGCTGTAGCCAACTTCTCTGACTGATGATGCATTCAAGTCATGTCTGAAAGATTGAATTTATGAGTTGAACGACCATGACCAAAATCACAAATTTGTAATTACATGTGGAAAACTCTGAACTTTCTTTAAGCCCCCAATTTTGAAGTTGGGGACATGTCATCGAGAAAATATGTTGGATGCAAAGGGTGCAGCATCTGTATTGACGGAAAATTTGTTGAAAATTTGTTTGCACAAAATATGACAGTATTGTACAATTACAATAGGATATATGGCGATTCAATTAGCAGCAGCTTCATAAATCAAATAAAAACATAAAAAGCAATAACACATCATATTGGATCAATATACTACCCTATTGATCCAACCAAAGTGACTTGAACACGTCATAATTACAACTTCCAAACTCATAAATACAAACTTCCCAGGAGGAACTGAATGCACCATAACATTGCATTGCCCCTGTCCATGGTGCTGAACTCTGCAGTTTGTTTCTTTTACAGATGTGACGATGCTTCTGCTGTACTAGACTCTACCTGCAATTTGAGGATTGTAATGTGAGTCCAGGTGCAGTCCCGACATTTTATGCTGGTGGAGAGGAGCGAGATGCTTCACTCGGTTGCCATGACAACAGGACTTATCTTTGTTAGCTGGCTCTTGTATACGAGCGCACGGGGCAATCCCATTGTGTCGGTGCCAGAGGGTGGGGAGAAAGAGCGCTTGGAGCGCGTTCTGACCCAGACCAAGGAGGGCGTGCTGAGCCCCGGTGCAAAGCAGCGTCTGGAGGAGCTGAGTAATCTTGAACTGGAGGGGATCAAGGGTGGGAACAAATCCAGTTCTGGCAGGACCAGACCCAACTTGAGTTCATTGAGACGAGGGTTCAAACTTCAAGGCAAGACCCTCGAAGCCTGGGGTGAGCAAGAATCGCTCAAGCAAACCGAAGAGGCACCAACGGAAGAGGCCAACATCTCTCTGGATGCGATTGATGAGTATGCGTACCCCGATTATAGGGGGAAAGGCTGCATGGACGAAACGGGGTTTGTGTTCGCCATTGGGGAGAAATTCACCCCGGGACCCTCCACCTGCCCATGCCTGTGCACAGATGAGGGTCCTTTGTGCGCCCAACCAGAGTGTCCAAAACTTCACCCTCGTTGCCTGCGCGTCGACACCAGCCAGTGCTGCCCGCAGTGCAAAGAGAAGAAAAACTACTGTGAATTTCGAGGAAAGATCTACTCGTCTCTGGAGGAGTTTAAGGTTAGCCCAACACATTAAGTACTTCATTATCCATATGCCAGCTTTAACTAGGTTTATTCCTCTCTTTTATCTGTATTCAACAGTGTCAGGAGGGCCATGAGTGACCTTTATTTTATGGCAGATTATGTGAAGTCCTTGCGTTTAGATCTTTACTCCTATGAATCTCTGTTCATGGAATTGAATTTTTGTGGTCCAGTGGAGTTTTCTGTCCAGTTGAAGAAATCTAATGTGTGCACATCATGTCTTGATTATATATTGATTCCAGCGAGCCAAAAATGAAATTTCAAAATTGCACATTTGTTCATTTTTAATCCATCACTCTTCCTCAGCCCCAGTCTTTCCCCAGGGACGAGGCTCGCAACAAGATAAAATATTGTTTTTCCTGCATTTTCTGCTCTGAAAGTGTGAAGAGTTCAATTATTATGCGAAACTAATGGTGACTTATCTTGCTTAGGCTGTTATGTAAGAGAAGACGATAGGCCTGTTTTCCCTGTAAGGCCCTATTATGATGCTCTCTAATTTTGCCTTTAGTGAAAAACGCATGTCATCGGTTTTAGAGTAGCAGCAGGTGCTCAAATGATTCTTTTTGAACTGTGTGTCTCGCCCCACAGTGTAGCCAAAGCCATTAGCTGCTTCTACAGCTTATGCTCTTCATTCAGTTTGCATTGGTTCCTCCTCCTGTGTCATTGGAGTCCTTATCCAAAACACCTGAGCTTTATGGCGAGCAGTGAGATTTATTAATGCAGAAGTCAGCATAAGCGCTTTATACAAAGAGTGGTAATGACCGAGCGCTGAATTTATTGGTTCTGCTCAGCCGCACCTAATGCATATGCAGACTGCAAAGGTAACAATTAAACCCTCGGCAGAACAAAATGAGTCCTGGTATCATATCTGTTTAGTCCCACAATGTGAGCCTCTCAGGGGGAGCTGCCGAATTAATCCGTGCTCGCCTCTGCTGAACTTTTCAATTTTAGAAACCCCTTGTGAATTTTTATTTTATTTTTCATCACAATTGGAGGTGACACATTGTCCTCTGTTTGATTCGTTGAAGATTGTCTCAGGAGATACTGTGTGCAGAAGGTTCTTTTTACAGAAATGCTAATGCCAGAACAGACATTGTATTTTGTTGTATTTTAAAAGCATGTTGTATTTTAAAAGCAGTGAAGAGCAGTGAAAGCAGAGAAGAAGCAGTGAGCAAAACTGATCGTTTGTTCATATATTCAGTATGTGATTTTGGAGACATCTGTAGAGTCACATGAATGCTTGAGAAATCCACTGTTTGACAGAAAGACTCTGAATTTATCACATTAATACAGTTCGGCTCAGGTTCATAAAATGCATGTGGCTGTTTCTTCAACTATGGGTACTTTGGGTGCAGTGGATTTTTAAAAATTAAACCCTTTTTGTACTTGCTACTTGATTTAATTTGTCTTCTAACAATGTCCATCCAACAATATGAATCACAGCAAATTCACTGAACCATAATTTCCACCACATCTGAAATCACCATTCATGAAAATGATGGTGGTGGAATTGCCATTTAAAACATTAATGGAAAAAAATGGCAGACTCTTTCCCCTACTAAGGCTAATTTCATAGCTAACATTTTATGTATCGTAGATACAGACATCTAAAACTACTTCCAGATTTGTTGCATACTTCGACAGAATGCAACTGTTAAAAAAATATTGGGTAACACTTTACTTAAAGCCTTTATGTATAATGCATTATAAAAGTAGTTTTAATGCATTAATTATGCTTTGTAATATATTGGCTGCATCCATAACCCTAAGCAGCTGACTTGCTGCCTCGCTGCCTTATCAGGCAATGACTTTGCAGGCAGTGTAACTGTTTAATGATCTACAATAAAACAGAACGAGTTTTGGTGATAACTAAACGGATATTTAATTACTATAATACTGAATGGAACACACAGGATTGTAGGATGTCAAAGGCAGCGAAAGATACATCTATGCTGCCTAGCCTGCCTTCAAAAATCGATCAGATGAAGGTATCTCATGAGACAGGAGGTGAAGCTAACTTTGGATTTGGATGTGCCTTGATGCCTCCCTACCTTATAATGTGTCCTCTGAAGGCAGCATTTTTCAGTTTTCGGATGCAGCCCCGATAACACTTATCAAATCATTGTTACATTATGCATTTTAAATTCAGTTTTAATTATTTACGACAAGCAATAATGTATTACAAAACACATTATGAATAATTATAATGCATTATACCCTTTAATAACCATTTATAATGCATTATACATAAAGGCTTTACGTAATGTGTTAATATTCTGTTGACAACTGATATATACCTGGACTTTGAAGGTTTTCTTCACACGCTGGGTAAATTATTAGTGGCAAATTTGTTGTTTGTGATAGAAAATATGCTACAGCTGAGGAAAAGTCATTAAGTATGTAAAATTTTATATATATAAATAATTGGTAACACTTTACAATAAGGTCCAATTAGTTGACGTCAATTAATTAAAACTAACATTAACAATGAGCAATACATTTGTAACAGTATTTATATATTTTTTTAACAGTAGCTAATTAAAATACAACTGTTCATTGTTAGTTCATGTTAACTCAGGTCCATTAAATACAATTAACAGATACAACTTTTGATCATAAATTTTTAATATTTATATTAAGATAATAAAAAAAAGTATTTTTCATTGTTAGCTCACATCAACTGTTTTTTTTCCCTGATTGTGAACAAATAGAACCTTATCATAAAGTGTTTACACACAATAAAAATAGAAATGGTTTATGTTTCACACTTTATTTGGATAAAATGGATTCTTATATTTTAACATCAAAAGGCTGGGTCTGAGAAGAGGGTAAAATCTATATATAAAAGACATTGGAAAAATAGCAAATATAAATGAAGGCACGCTGAAAAGTTTCCATGGTAGTTTTAATATGACCTTCGTGTAACAAAATGGGGGGAAAAAGTTTTAATAAAAATCAACCCTCGGGACCTAAAAGTGCCTGTAGTTGAAGAATCACTCAAAAAAGTAAACATGTATTGACATTCATCCATAATGAATGGGCTGAAGCATAAGGCACAACTCAGAGTTCCCCATGGACCCATGAATATGGAAAGAAAGGAAGGGAGATGAGCAATGCCAGAGGAATTGCCAGAAGAAATTAGGTAAGAATTGTTAATATACTCCAAGTGATGTGATTGGCAGGATTGTATGAGCGTGCTCATCAATTAAACTGAACACTCATCAGTTCCCTCAAAGAAGCACGCCACAAATCAGAGCGCTTGTTCTTCCTCTGATGTCTGTAATAGTATAACGAAGGTCGCTACAGAAGGTTTTGTTTCTCGTCTACCTGTGCTTCCAGGTGTCTCCATGCGAGAAGTGCCGTTGTGAGCCCAGTGGAGAGGTTCTGTGTTCTGTGTCAGCTTGCCCACAGACCGAGTGTGTTGATCCGGAATATGAGCCTGACCAGTGCTGCCCAGTGTGTAAGAGCGGTAAGTGGTCGAATTCTTCCAGCCTTTCTCTGTTATTCCTCCTCATACCTCTCAAACCGCCATCCCCTGAACCGCAGAACCCCCGCTGTGTCCCCCAGGAGCGAGAGAGAGGTAGGTTAGAATCGCTTCTGTAAAATGACCACAGAGACTTCTGTCCACTTCACCCAATTACCATACCATGAAGAAAATTCACAGAAAGCATGCACAGAGCCGCAGATCTCACCGCCTCTCGTATGGCCTACGTGTGCATCCATCTTATTGTTCTATGATAGCCATTTTACTTCAGTGAGGTGATGCAAACCCAAGGAGATCATATTTGTCTGCAGGCCTTTGTTTAAGATAGTTGCCGGCATGCATTATTCAGACAGCAATAGCACTAATGAACCTGCAAAGTTGCTCTGCTTGTTTCCAGGAGGTGAGGTGATTAACACAGGCAGGTGTTTCGGTTGCAGTCTGCTTTCTCCAGCCCTAGGGCACAGATGATTAAACTTTTACACATGTTTTTTTCCTCCATTTGGCTGCAAATACAGAAGTATAAGGTACATAAATGCACTCCCTCGTCAAAGCGCCTGCTGCAGAGACGGAAGTATTTTCAAAGCCACTCTACATGAAAAGCACCCTTGCACGGCAGCCTTTTTTTGCTCTGTTACAAAATCTAGTGAGCTGCCTACAGAAGCAGCATTTTAAGAGATGTTCGGTGCGCTCCCGACAAGAAGGCTGTTCCACGAGGAATCTGAGATACCTTCTTTTAGTTGAATTCTTAGGCAGAACATTACGTGTATACTTTGCAGAGAAGGCAATCCTATAAGGCAATGTGCTGAAACAAAACAAAACAAATCCAAGATGGGGGACAAGGTTGATTATCAATTTTTTTTTTTTTCAAAATGTTCATTGGTATGGAAAAGTTATTTATAAAATGGTAACACTTTTTTGCAATAAATATGATTTCTTAATATTATGTCATGTATTGACAATCATGAACAACTAATAATGAACAACAATTGGTTGGCTGGTACAGTGTTTTTGGCTGTATTTAGGCTGTATTTATTTGATATACTGTACAAAAATACTGTAAAATCAGTAATATTGTGAAATATTATTACTAATTAATTGTTACTTATTGTTTGTGCAGCTTAATATTTTTGAGGTAACCATGTTTTAAAATCAGGATTATTTGATGAATAGAACAGCATTCTGTTCGAAAGAACAGCATTATTTGAAATAATTTTTTAACAACTTGTCTTTACTGTCACTTTAGATTTTACTGTTGAATAAAATTATTAACTTTTTACAAAAAAAAAATCTACAATTAACATTGTTCTATATTAAGAAGTGCTGTAAAAGTATTGTTCATTGTTACTTAATGATACCAAATGCTTTAAAGAGGTCATGAACTGCCTTTGTTTTTTATTGTGTACTGTTTTTTGAGGTCCACTTATAATGTTATCAAGCTTTTTACATAAAAAAAACATCATAATTTAGAAGTAATAGGCTACTTTCTGTCCTGTTTTAACCACCCTCATTGGAAACGCTCTTTTTGAATAGGTGTTTTAATTATTGTAGTTTCGGAAGTAAATGCTAACGATTGGCTAACAGTTGTGTATGTTTGACAGCCTACATCCTTCACTGGTGGATGCTACAGTGATTTATAGTAGGTTAAAAATGCATAAATACTCAGTACATATCAAACGATCTGTAATAACAGACAAAGCAATAGTGATCACATAATAAAAACAGTTACTCACACTGGTGTGGTGCCACATATATATAGTTGGCACAGCATCGTCTTTTAGTTTCAGTCTTTCTGAAAATCCCGCATTGAATTGTGCCTTGTTTGTAAACGAATCCGTGGTAAAATTAAGTGAACAAAGGACCACGTTCTTACTGATGTGGTCTGGCACTTCATTAAAAATAAAGTTCTGTCAGGACCACTATCGTCAAAGATGATTGACAATTAGCATGCGAAAACTGCTGATAATACTGAGGGACCTTATATATGAATGCTTAGATAGGTGTCATATTCCCATAGGTAGATGGGGATCAGCTGAAGGTCAGCTTGACTAACGTGACCTGCCAGAACTAACGCTACGCTTGATTTCATCAAATAAAGTTTATCGTTTGGTTTCTGCGTAGACCTGCATTTGCCGCTCTTGTCATTTACCTACTACATGTGTGAATCGGTGGGCGGGGCTAAACAGGCAGCGATGTAGAAACAGGCGTTGAGCTTCTTCTGCCGAGGCGGTGTTTAGCATCACTATTACATCATAAAGTGGTACATTCCACAAGCTGTTGTTTTGGCAGGTTGGCTTCAATATAAGCTGTTTTTAGATTAACGAGAAAGTTTTGAGCTCTGAAACTTACATAATATTTTTATAGCACAGTGACCTGTTATATGTCAAATGAATTATTTTATTGTAGTATTGTGCTGTTAGTATACTGTAGCAGTGTAACGGAGGCCAGCGGGTAGGTGCTGTGCAGGTAAACCTCACTTCCCTGATCTCAAGAGACACACTAGCGACTGACGCTAGAGGCTTGTTAGTGCGTCCGCCTACCATGCTGGAGACCTGGGTTCGAGACCCACTTGGAACAAGAATGAGGTGTGGCGGTGAGGACCTGGGGGAGAGGAGTAACATTGGTGCCGTGACCCGGATGGGAGTGAGGTTTCGGGGGATGAGTGTAACGGAGGCCAGCGGGTAGGTGCTGTGCAGGTAAACCGCACTCCCCTGATCTCAAGAGATGCACTAGCGACTGATGCTAGAGGCTGCAGTCTTTAGCCTCCTTGTTAATGTGTCCACCTCCCATGACCGAGACCCACTCGGAACAAGAACGAGGTGTGGCGTTGAGGACCCGGGAGAGAGGGGTTACAGCAGCATGTGTTAATGAAATCAACTGAAAGTCGAATGAGGAGCGCTATTTGTGTGATGACAGTTTAGATGCTGCCTATATAGACAGCAGACAGCGAGGCAACTCACTAGGTTTCTGAACAGACCTTTTGTCTGTCTTGTGCGTGCTGTTGTTCTCTTTTTGGCCAGAGGACTGTTTTTCAGGCGGTAGAGGAAAGAAAAGCAGTGACCTCGGGTTAGTGTGTGAGTGTTCTGTGATTGGAACACATTACAATGTCTTGGGAGAAGTTTTCTGAATCAGTGTGGGTTATATAGAGCTGTTTGAGATGCTTTTAGACAGCATGTCCAAGACTGTTGCTTCTTGTGTACGCCTGGATCCTGATGTAATATGGCACCGGCAGCCACGCTGCCTCCTTCAGCAGATAAGAAATGATGACTTGGTAAATGGATCTCTGACTCGGCAGCTAAACTCTCAGTGTAGTGTGGACAATAGGGGGAAGGGCGATGTGGGGCAATTATTTTAAAGAGCACACATGTTTAAATGAATCATCTTGGCATTTGCTGAGATGCTGCCAAGACTCCCTGATCAAATATCTCAGTTGGTGTTTGGCTGTGAGATGGAATCCAAGGAACAAAAGTGGGCCAATTTCATCAAGTCGTGCCGTGGTGAATTCAAACAGTTTTACAAATGTATGTGCACACTCAAGCAGTCAAGCTGTATGGTTTTATGATGGATTGGAAACATTTTTGCTCAACGCACAAGATTACAGCCGCCTAGTGATTTCACGGCGTGCCGTAATACCGTGGCTCGTCTCGGCTTCATCGCGCTTGCCAGGTAGTCTGCAATTTGATTTCATCTCGGAATTGTTTCTATAGATAAAATCACTCTAATACTCTGTTTGTGTTTCCTGTGGTTCCTACGTATGTCTTGTGGGGGTGGATCACAGAGAGACGCGAGTGCAATGGGTGGCACCTCTGAGGCTTTTGCTGTGAATGTCTGAGGTACAAAGACTCCTGCACAGATGCAATGCAAGAAGCAGCCAGATGCTCTGACCCCATGAGATTTGCACTCTTCAAAAAATAAGACTTCAAAGCTTTGCACGGTGACACCGTAGGATGGGTGCCAGCTGTGACAACTAGTTCTAACATGGCATCTGATGAGGATGATAATCACATACACAAACTTAGCGTTTGACAGGAGAACACCAAGGAGGCCATTGGCATTTTTTTTTTAACGACTGACACTGGAGCCCTTGGAAGTACATGATTTCAAGTCGGGCATAGAATCACTTCTGAAGGGCCAGTCATTTGAGCCAGAAATGTCATGATTGATCACTCTGGAGCCAAACTGACATTAAGCCAATGATGATGGTCTAAGAACGCCAGGGTTGTGCTCTGCAGAATTTGAATTCAAATTTGAATTTAAAGGGGTCCTATTAGGCTCTTTTACAAAGTCTTGATTTTGTTTTGGGGGTGTACTAGAACAGGCTCTCATACTAGGTTGTTCGAAAAACACATTATTTTTCACATATTTTACATTATTACAACACCTCTCTCCCCAGTCTGGCATGAACGGCTCGAATAGTTCCTGTATCAAATGAAGGCCCACCTTCTGAAATACAAAATGTGCTGTGATTGGTTAGCTGGGCCAGTGTGTGTTGTGATTGGCAGCACTGGGCGCCTGGTCGGGAAATGTCATGCCCCTTACCATAGCCGCCTGCGAGCTTCATTGTAAATATTGCGTCAAAATCAGCGCAATTTGAGCGCGATTTAAACCCGGATGATTAACCACTCTAAGTTCGTCTGCCTTGGGAAAGCTAGCGTGTCTCCGACATAGTGATAACACTTGTTGCCTTCTCTAGCGCAGCTCAAACAGGTCTCGTCCCATTCGTCGATATTTGTGATATCACAAATCCCGGAAAATATGCGTTGTAGTCCAAACGAGTCGTTCGTTGTAGTTTTTGAAAAGTGATTTCTGTTAAATAAAATTTCTCCTTTTGAACTGGACTTTAAGCTTTGTAACTTTGCAGATCTTTTTTATGCTCAAACAGCAACATTACAGACTAACTAAAGTTGAATTTGTGAAAAAGCATAATAGGACCCCTTTAAGGAAGAAGTATTCAAATTAATTCAAATAATTGTACGTTTTGACTTGAA